TATACTCACCCACCCCCTCACAAACTCAAAATTATTTTATTTTATACATTTTATCATAATTTAAAGGTACCAACCGGCAATCAATATGATAATTAATAATGAACATATTTCAAGTTAATTATTTTATGTTATTATACCCAACCACACCTTATTTTCAAGGTATAGCGACCGCTACACCTAGTAATACTTTTTTGATGGTTGCTATTTTATTACTATCACTAAATCTGTTATGTTATAAAAGCTTCAATTTGGAATGAATTTAAATAATTTAATATAAATACCTGTAGTATGAGATTAATAGTAGTATTACAATATTCTAAAAGCGGACGTTGTTCTTGGACAGTTCGATCTTCATCATATAAAAGTTTGTTGATAGTATCAATTAATTTATCAACTAAAGGTTTTTCAGTCGAAATTTTAAATATATTTATTATGCTGGATATTATATTACATAAGCTATATCTAATATTTGCAACCTTATCATCTGAAATAAACAACAATATATTATTTAAGATATAATTAGAAAATCCATTATCTCATTAAATTGTCAGGCTCATTAATTACTTAATATGATTAGCAAAGAGAAATAATAGAGCTACACAATCAGGCTAAATAATTTAACAATATGCATTTTATTGTTATTTTAACCCAAATACGAATATTATCCAAGTCTACACATAATAAAAAATATAATATATTRTGGGTAAAACTGGACACTAAGTATTTAGTTTTAACTCATATTAACTTTGTAACTTAAATAGATGTATTGAATGTATAAAATATTCTAATTTAACTTGTTAAAAACAATAAGTCATAATTTATTAATAATAATTATTGAGTATTTTAAATTTTATGAAAAAGACATCTGTCTTGTCTTATTATATTTAATCAATTATTTATATCAGTCACCTATTTTTTGTAATACACGTTAACCCTGATGCCTATAATAAATAATAATGACCATTAAATATGCATACAATATCATTATGTTTGTATATTTCTTGTTTATTATTAATCTGTATTCTATTGACTGATATTCCAATCGGTTTCCAAGAAATAAGGAATATAAGATATTAACTATCTACTTGAAAGTTAAACCACTTGATTAATTTATCATAGTTAAATAATAAAATGTTTCTAGTGTTACCAATAATTTAAGTTAGATACTGAAACATCAACTACCATGTAATTAATTAATTTATGTAATACTTAACATATTTTAAAGTATCTGTTAAAAATTTAAATTTTAAACTATAAAAAGTTATATATAATATAATTAATATAATTAAATTATTATTCCAATCTTAGTTAGGTCATTTTTTTTAAGCATATTTTTTGTATGGATATTAAACAAATTATATGCATCCAAATCCAGGCATTAGTTATATTTGTACTTAAATTTTACATTTTTTTTATAAATATGTATGGGCTTTGGTTTTCTTGTGTTAGCTATAGAAATTATTAAAGAACCACGACAGTCCACTTAATACTTATAAGGTTAACGATTCAGACATGTAAATAAAAATAAATAATATACCTGCCAAAGAAAGTAAAGCAGAGAAAAAGTGTTTTTTAAAATATGCAGTAGAAAATACATTCAAGGCTTCTTGACATATAAATATGTAAAATGATCTTTTATAAAAATTTGGATTTTGAACTGTACCTGAAAAAAAAATGTTAAAGAACCATGAATAAAAAATATATAAAAATTGCAGTTTAAGTAATGCGTATTGTTGTTTGAAATAATGTCCATGAAAATAAAATTTCTATAATATTACTTGTCAGTGATATTTTAAATTTTAAAGTGTATTTTAATATTTTTTAACACATAACCAAACAACATTTGATCAACAGATATTGTTTTGGTTATATTTTTTTTGCACACGACCATTATTCAATAATATTTTAATATAAAAACTAAAAATAAATTATAACTTCACATACTAAAACTATTTAAATATTTATTTAACTAAAAATTAAATTAAAAATATTGTATTGAGATAATTACGATCAATAAGATGTTCACGTAGTAGTGTTCTTTGATTTGCATCTAAATTATAACGTAAAATTGTCAAAAGCAATGTGCAAACAGCTTCTTTAATTGGTTTTTGTCTCTATAAAAGTAAAAATAGATGAATTATAGACAACAGACAAMAAAATAATAAAATATATATTACTTACAACACATTCCAATCTATCAAGCATAACTTTTCCAACATAAAAGACCTGGTCAGATGTGTAACATGTAGGCAAAACAATTATCTGGTGTAAAAACTCTGCATACAATCTCCAGTTGTATTGGACAAATAAAAATTCTTCTAAGAGCATCAGTGATTTTAAAACTTGTTCTTGATATTTCTTTAAAATTAAAAATAAATTATTTTAAATGTAGTAAATTTAATTTCCATTTATGTTTCTATTTACCATTTTTATAATCATAAAGCTTAAGTTAGGAATCAATACTTTTAAAACTTTAATATCTCTCTCGGACAACATTTTCAATAACACTGAAGAAATCAWTACAACTTTATCATTTAATGATATCAAAACCTAAAATAAGAAATAAGTCATGTAATAACAATTTCAATCTTTATTCTTTAGAAATGAAAAAAAGTCAATCTAATAGTGTTTTCCACCATACCGCACATTGCACCAAGGTGGGCACTGATACAGTTCACTGATAATCGTCCTAGTGCAGACTGGAACAAGTGTAATAGTGTTTTCCACCACACTGCACCAGTGCATATTTTTATGTTCCATCTGCAATATTAATGTGCACTGAGAGGACTTTTTTATGTTTCACCTAAATGCACTACGCCAGTTTTTTGCACTCAGTGCAATGATTATAACATGAGCACTTGGATCTCGTGCGCTTTATATCATTATCATGATAAGTACTATAATACCCATTAAATGTTTCATTATCTTTATATATCAGTAATAAGTATAGATTTTATGTTCCATCTACATTTGCACCAGCTCGTGTTAGGATGATTATCAGTGAACTGTACCAATTCCACCTTGGTGCAATAGTGCGGTGTGGTGGAAAACACTATAAATGAAACATAAAATCTATACTTATCACTGATATATAAAGATAATAAAATATTTAATGGGTATTGTGGTACTTATCGTGATAATRATAAGGCTCATGAGCTCCAGGAGCTAGTGCAATTATCATTGCACTGAGTGCAAAAAACTGGCGTGGTGCATTTAGGTGAAACATAAAAAAGTCCACTCAGTGCACATTAATCTTGACGATGGKCGATGGAACATAAAACTATGCACTGGCGCAGTTAGTGCAGTGTGCTGTATGGAGGAAAACGCTATTAGSCTATTAAATAAGCTACTTACTTCTTTAATAATATCAACCAAAGCAATTCTTATCTCCACATAATCTTCAGAGACCAAATCAACCAAGTGATTGATAAGATAAATTAATAAAGTTGTGCTACCCTTGTCAGATGAACACAAAAGTATGATTTCTGTTAGACTTATAGCACAGAGTTTTTGAATAGTCAAATACGGTTTGTCAGTAAAAGTATGATCCAGTTGATCCTGTTGATGTAAATAATTAAAACAGTATTAACATAAATATTGATATTTATTTATATTTGAAATTATTTTTAAGTATTTATAATTTAAGATTTTAAAATTGAATTTAAGTTAAATAGCCTATAATACCTAATATATATTTCAGTTTATTATTCAGTATAACAACATTAACCAAAAAAACAACATAAAGATTGRATAAAGCAACTAAAATACCAAATRAAATGCATTGATGAACTAGTGATCATGCCTAAAATGCAAATAGAATTTTTTAGAATCTAGATAAATATTATACGAGCTGATTATTAGATTATTGGGAACTGTATTATATTCATATGAACTCATTGCTGTCTTTCAYAAGATTGCTTTTTTCGGAACAGCTTCATCAAAGTACCCATTATTTGTTTTGGAATTTTATTTATCATTGAAAATTGTATAATTTGTACCTACTTCATAATTGATGATGATAATATAATAAATAAATAACATTCTTAATATGTTTATTATTTTTGAATCTTAATTAAGTTTTTATTCCTCTCGAGTTTCGTTACCTAACCTAACCTAACCTAACCCTATGTAATTAAGGTTTACTGTATTAAGTATTTATAAATATAATAGTAT